GTAACACTCTGAAAAGCTATTTTATTTTTTCTTCTAATGTTGCCCCGCTTCTGACTTCCGTACAACTTTTATTATTTTTATTATTTCATTTAATTTTTTGTTTCATAAAGGTTTTACATGTGGGTATAAAATGAATTTTTTTTTTTTTTAATTTGGTTCTTTTAAGAGTTAATTGTTTTTCCAGGAAGTTTAATTCAAAGTATGGAGACTATAAAGTGCATTTTGCAAAATAATTCCCTGCATAAATGTTGTTACACTTCACTTCTTAAAGATTAAAGGTTAAATTTAATCCACTGGTTTTAGGAAACATCATAAAGGTCAAATACCTTGGCTAGAAGAAAATCAATGTCTGTTTTAAAAAGATACCGTATTTGTTAAAAACTAAATTCACTTTTTTTTCATGGCTTTGTCAATTTCATGCCAGTTTTGTTAAATTCTATTTGGTGAAATAATTTTTAGTACCTCCTGAGCTCCTCTGTGAAAACTATTTCAGTGGTTACTAACGATTCATTAGCCAGCATTTCAACGAGGTTTTCCTTGAATTCATACTATCATTGAGAATTGTGTTTGTTCCAACACATCTGTTATATTAGTCAGCTCTTAGTTCTCTATTATGGGAATCTCAGAAACCATTTGACTGGGTTCACGTTATCTGTGAATTTTCACATTATTTTATGGCCACCGGCTGCATTTTATGACTATATTAAATCTTTTATTTTTTCAAATAACTTTTTCAGATGGTCTCAGTTTCTGATCCAAGGGAAATCAGGCATATGCCCAAACATCTACTGTTCAGCAAGTTACAGCCACTGCGAAACCCCAAATAAACGAAAAAGAAACAAAAATAAAACTCTTCTTTAAAAAAGAAAATTCCTGTGTAAAATACCAGTATGCCAAAAACCTACGTACCTGACCTTTCACTAGATCTATTCTTGGTAGGACATGCCTTCAGCTTTTAATTGGAACCTTTTTCATAATTGTTGCCATTTAACACATTTAGTCTGTCAAATCATGGGATGTCTTTATAGCCATATAATAAACCCTAGAGAACAACTTTTCTGACTGTAGCCATCTGCAGTGATCACAAGAGTAGCTTACAAAATACTGACAGTCTTTATGGTAATAGGATACATATGGCAGCCCACAATTATGTGTAGCTGCATTCAATTAGTGTTGTACAATTACACAGTTTTATTGCTTAGTTAAAACAGTGAAAGCAGTACATACTGGGTAATTTGCACTAATCCCCGTCTCTTTAATAGCCCCTCGTTGTTTAAAACGTGGGGGGAGCATCTACAGTATTTAAAGGGCGTGGGATGAACATAAAATGATATCTCATGTTGTGAATACTCTTTGACTGGCAATTAACGTACCCCACCTCACGTGTGGCGCATATGTTATGGAGGCTTTAAAATACAGTCACAGCAAAAAATTTCTTCTTACACCAGAACCCCACTTGCTGGGTCAGCCTGTCCAAGCTTATACTTGCAGCCTGTTAAGGTTCTTTCTGAAAGAAGGTCAGGGTGAGGAGACAAGCTAAGGAAGTCGATTCAGAGAGTGGGAGAAGCCAAGGACTCTGTGTTTTGGATGCGAATGTGTTAGAAGCTTTTCCGACTCCTAACGTTTAATTAAAAACTTAGTTCAAAGTGAATTTATAGCTGCCATTTGGGAAAATACTTTCTGGAGATGGTTTTGTGAGGATGTGTGTGTGCGTGCACGTGCACGTTTGAAACACCTGTATTCAGCAATCTGTGATTTTTAACAAAGTTTTAATTACATTTTTACATGGCCTCACTCCTGCCCCTCTGTAAGGGGCTTGGTAAGAAATAAGAGTGAGTATGCTTCAGGCGGCAGCAGGCGCTCTGGGGAGTCCCGTTGTGAGGTGGGCCCATTGCAGCACTTAGGAAAGGCGCTCTCCCAGGGGAGGAGAGGAAACACTACAATATATTCTTCTGTATCCTTCTCCCCAAGTGTTGACAGAGAAAACCCCAAAGCAACCTTGTTTCCTGCCCTGCCTGACGGTAAGTAAGTTAAACAGAATTCCAAATGAGAGGCCTGGGCACTTATTCACCTGCAAAAACATTTTGCTGAAGCATTTCAAATGTACTTGGGTCTAGAAATGTTTTCAATTATGTGGATTAGACCTTTGTCTCTTAGCTCTTACTGTCTCTCATAAGCATCACTTTAACCTCTTTATATGCTCATGAAAATTCTACTATATGGTTTTCAAAGCAAAAAAAAAAGGAGATATGTAGAAGTGAGTAAAGAGAGATGAAAAGAACATTAAAATGATAGATTCTACATATTTCATTTAAATGATGCTGGTTTATTTTAAGAGAATTATTACTGTTAAATAATCTTCATTTTCTTTACTTTAGGTAAGTTTTTAGTGCTTTTTTTCTTAGTTATTGAAACTTTGAACTTTATTGCTCAGCTATATTAAATATAACTGGCATATGGCTATATGTACGATGGAATTCCTATTAAAATGTAGATGCTTAAAAAGAAAGCCTTTGGTACATGGAGGAGAATTACGTGGTCATATTCTGAACTAAAATGTGACTTATGACTGCATCTGCCGATATCTGCTTTTGTCCAACTTTGGAATAGAGTTGGGTGATTATGGATAGTATGTTTAGAAAAAAAGCCACAGAATCTCTGTATAAATGGAGCTGTGTAATTTGAAATCTGCACCACCTCACAAAACACGCACCATGAACGTTTGGACCTAACAGAACATCAAAGCAAGAGGTTATTCTGCATTTTAGAAAGGTTATTGGTAACAAAATGGAATTAGGGAAGTAAACAATTCTGCTCCGTCTGGGAAATAAACTAGATGATCTACTAGGTATTTCCAGCTCAGATTTCTTTTCATGAAAAACATTCGCTTGTCTTTTGAATGACCTGAATGGCTGACATGCTAAGACTACAATTTAGGGATTTCTTTTGCCTGAGAGCATTTAGACTGGGGAGGATACTGTGTTTTGTAGCTCTGAGGCCTCAAAGTCCATGATTCAAACTTGTTTATGCTGACCAGGGCTGGTTGGCTGCTTCATTAAACTAGGGAGGACAGTGTCCATCTCAGAGGACAACTGGGCAAAGCCACATCTGTGGGGGACATACAGCTGTCCTTGCCCTAACAACCCAGGTGCAGGTGGCCCTGAAAGCCTCTGGATACCTGCCCGAGGGCAGCCCAGACTTGATCGTGGTTGAGCCCTCAGGGAGAGGACTCCATGTTCTGAACGTGGAGAAAATGTAAACAAATATTTTCTGCCGAGAAATGACACAGTCTCTCCAGAGAGGCGGATCTGACTGCCTTTTTTCTGCCAAAACAGTTAGATCCAAATGATCATTGCTGATACTGCAGCTTAGCTGGCCAAACATCTGCACTTGAGGCTGCAGTGGACTGAAAAGTGAAATCTACTTTTTCCAAAGGAAGGCAGACATGGTGTGTGAACGGTAGCGGTGCTCCTAATGTGTGGAGATGTGCCTTGCTGTGTGTGAGGTTCCAACCGCTGTAGCAAGTACAAATGATCACAGAGCGATAACAGGAGAAAATGCAGGCCTCGACTGGCTGGATGAATTATTTTGATGTACGTGGAAAACTTCGCCATTTCCTTGAGGCGTCTCCTGGCAACTGCCTTTTACTGTGGCTCTCTTTTCTGTATCTCTTGATTCCAGTGGAGGGCTCTGAATTAGAATTCTGAATGCCCTTTGATCTTTTCTTTGAAATAATAGGCGTTGTTTGGCATACTTTTTAGAACAGATCCATTTGGTTTCATCGTGGGCTAGAATTAAAGCAGTTTAAGTACTTGCCTATGGTCACATGCATCCTTTTCTTGATTTGTTGGGTGAAAGACTAGAGATTTTTACTGCCTTAATAAGGAAACCTGGACAGAATGCTGACTCTGCACCTGATAAATCTTCCCAAATTGCCACAGGTGAAATGAAATGTTAATATCCCTTTCAATTATTAATAAAAAAATGTAAATAGATCTTGTTGGAAAAGTGGGGCACTGAAAATAAGGTATTTTAATAGACGTGTGGATTTTTTGTTCAATTTACTAAAGAATTGCATTTTTAAAGCTTCTGATATATTAAAATGAAGAGGTAATTATTTTCATAAATTGGAGATTTTACACTAGAAACTTGCTGTATTTCATTGTATTCTGCAAATCAATTTGAATTGTAGCAAACATCGAACACAGATAAGCAAAAGGAAGAAAAATCTCCTATAATCTTACTACCCAGAGACAGACACACCAATAGGATGCTCTTCCAGACATTTTTCTTCGTACATACTTTTTTCTTTAATAGACATTTTATAAAAACCAGTCTGAAGTCTGTCCTCACTTCCCAAACTTGATTCATTTCAATAAATGTAAACCCACATCACCATTGTAATGGTCATGTAGCCTCCTATTGTATGAACATACCGTAATTTATTTAACAAATTTCCATTTGCGGGTTCTTCACCATGTTTTCAATTCTGCAGTAATATAAAGATGTTCTCGTATGTATATCCTTGCATAATTGCCTGATTTTTTATTTTATAATAAATACAGGTAAAATATTAATATACCAAAACCTCAATTAAATAGAGTCAGGAGACCAGAAGCGACGTCCTCACTCCCTGTGATCATAGCAGAGCCCAACAGGAAGAAGAAAGACTCCTCTTTTTTCCTGGCAAGGACTCAACCCATGAAAAGCCATGGACTCCTTGTTTTCTACAACCCTCTCAACTTCCTTTACCTCTTTGTAAATGCATCTCCCTCCCTTGCCATGTGGGGACTTGGACATGACTTGCCATGGGTGCAGACCCCGAATTGCAATCCTGTGCTGATCCCAAATAAACCCATCTCTGCTAGAGAAACATCTGGCAGTCTGTTTGTTTTAGATCAACATATATTAAATTTAAACCACAGTGTCCTTCATTTCTTTAGGAAAGAACTTTTGAGCTCTTGGTTGTAAGGCAGTTTCACTTTTTACTTTTACTTTAGGTGTACGAACACCAAGACGGCAGCAAATCGCTGAAGCTGGGCGACTTTGGACTGGCCACCATTGTAGACGGTCCCCTGTACACCGTGTGTGGCACCCCGACATATGTGGCCCCTGAAATCATTGCAGAGACCGGGTAAACACTTCTTGTGCATTTACTGCAGTACTGTGCTTGCAAAATAGCTAGTTGGCTTCAAGGATAGAAGAAATAGGAGTGTTCTGTCCCATCCAGACAGAACTAGTTATCAGATATTTTTCACTTTTTTTTTTTTTTTTTTGACTTGAAAGTGGGAGCCATTTTCTCTGTTTTCCCCATCAAGTTGCCAGTTACTACCATCTTGTTTAAGGCTTCCTTTTGGCCTTTGTTAAAGGTAGAATGGCAGTTACTAACCCCTTAGTAAAAAATGTTTGGACTAACAGAAAAACATAGTAATTAACTACGAGGGTAATTAACTAGCTATTGGAGAAAAAAGAAACAGACATGCTGTGTGCAGGGAGTACAGTCTACTGTGGTTACTTCTCTCAGCTGTCCTTATTCTCCAGTTCCGGTCCCATTTTGGTCCTCTTGGCAGCCCATTGATTATCTGTGGAGTGCAGATACCCTCAGGCATCTGAGGGCTCCTGGGAATTGGCTGGTTTCTGAGTGCAGCGGACACAGATGAAGGAAAATCTCTAGAATGGGGGGAGATTGTGGGGTGGCCTAATGCTTAACTAAGGACCTACTACTATATGCCAGGCTCCTTTACTTAATTCTTACTCTTCCAGTAGATGATATGATTCCCATTTTGCATCTGAATAAACTCAGTCTCTGATGATTGACTTAGAAGCTCATGACTAGATAGTAGCTGAGTCAGCATTTGAACTCAGGTCTAGGTGAGTAAAAGGCTCTTTCAGTGAAGAGCCCCATTTCTTGCCAAGGATCAGCAGCAGGGTTCTGAAGCACTGTCCTTAAACAGAAGGTTGGGCCACAGCAAGGGCAGACAGCCTGACTGTTTCTTCCCATTAGTGGCACCAACCCAAACCTAACAATCTAGGTAGTATCTTCCAATGTGACAGGTGGAGATAGTTTTTCTGCTTGTACCATAGACCAGAAAGGCAGAAATACGGAACAGATGAGAGGATAAATCCCCAGAGTGAGGTGTGAGGTAATGAGCACTTTTTTATTCATCAAATTTGAGTCAATTGCGAGCCCACAATCTATAGCCATGCCTGACCTCCCCTGAGGCAATGCCGTTATCTCTGTTGGGTGCTCTGATGGCCTGCTGCGAAGGGGTGGTGTGGGGTCGAAGGAGGATTTGGTTCAGCTCTTGAAAACCTTGGCTGGAACTCAGCTGTGCCACTAATTGTGAGATCTTGAGCAAAATTATTTACCCTCTGAACCTCGGGTTTCTATTCTTTAAAACAGGCAGTAATATTCATCCTGTACAAATTACAGAGTTGTTGGGAAAACAAAATCAGATAATGTATGTCAGTGCTTTATAAACTGGAAAATGTCTTCTGTGTAATTATTATTTCTAAAATTCAGGAGTGAAATAGTCTCAGGGGTCCATCTCTATCTGAAAATTGATATGACTGTCATAAATATCTTTGCTGAAACCCTTCACTTACTGATATTTAGATATGAAGGGAGGCATTTTCATTTTTAGTCATGTGCCTTAGATAGTCTTTTCTTTTTATTATTATTCTTTTCTTGCATTCTGTTAAGCCAGTGGGTTGTAGTTGAGTGTTTGTTGTGGGTTTTTAAAATTTTGTTTGGTTTGGGTTTTGGTTTATGATAGACCATGCCCCGTAATTTGTCCTGGCCTGACTTTGCTAACTCTGACGTCACTTACTTTTTCAGATATGGCCTCAAGGTGGACATCTGGGCAGCTGGCGTAATCACTTACATCCTGCTCTGTGGTTTCCCTCCGTTCCGTGGGTATGGGCAGCGATCTTTTATTCAGCACCAACAAAGCATTTCTCCCTTCTCTGAATGATCCATTCGGCCTCCCCGCACAAAGGAGCCTACAGCTGGAAAAGAACATGAGAACTTGTTATTTTTTCCATGTTGTGCACGCTAATTTACATGCCTTCCATAAATCTTCCTCATATAATTTAAAAACTCATTCTTTCTTAATTTGCCAAAACAGTTCCATACTGACATTTTGAATTGCTTAAAAACACACGTTTTACACATTTGTGGGGAAAGGAAGGGCTTCAATGCATAAGAATGAAAAGATACACCCTGAGTTAGCATTTTCCTGCTGTTTATTCCTCGTTGTTGTCCTTCATCTAAACAGAAGCGGTGATGACCAGGAGGTGCTTTTTGATCAGATTTTGATGGGGCAAGTGGACTTCCCTTCTCCATACTGGGATAACGTTTCTGATTCTGCAAAGGTAGGTTTCCAGTGCTTTCCTCTTCCTTATAGCGTGCGTCTCAATGGAATTATTGATTCTGAATCAAAGAAACAAATGATATCGTAAATATGATTTCTGTATGCATTTTAGTCATAGTTACTAAATTTCCCAAGAGCTCACATTCAAAGAGTCATCTGTCCGTAGCCATCCCAACTCATCGACTGCTTCTGCTTCCCTGGCTCATCCCTCCCTGTGGCCATTCCAGCTGTATTGCTGTAGCCTCTAGTTATGCCCCGCCCACACCTGGCTTGAGCCCACCTCAGACTTCTGTATAGCTTATTGCTTCACCTCTCTCGGATCGTGACTTAATGTCATCTTCTCAGTGAAGCTTTTCCAGTTGCAGCTCTTAGCCCCTACCTGGCTGACCTTATCGTCCTTTGCTTTATTTTTCTCCGTAACACTTACACTCTGTGTCCATCTGGTATACCATCTAACTACCTCTCTGTATCTGTCTGCTTATCTAGATGGATATAGATAGGTGGATATATTGTATTTATGTAGTTTATTTTCTAACTCTCCTCACTAGGGTATAATTTCTATCAAGACAAGGATTTTTGTCTATTGTATTCATTTCTGTATCATCAGTGCCTAGATAGTCACCAGCAACTAACTGATGCTCAACGTATATTGCACGAATGAATGAGTAAATGAATGAGTGAATTAAACAGTTAATCAATTAAAGTGGAGAAAGCACAACATGGGTTAAGATGATCAAGAAAGACATCATGGGGAAGCTATGATGTAACTTGGACCTTGAAAGACAGCCAGGATTTAGAGGCAGAGGGGAACAAAGCGTATGTTTTTTGTCCCATTAAACTAAAAGATCAATCTCTAAGAAAACTGTAAAAATCTCGCACAGAGACATTAGTAGACCCTGAAATCAAAAATGAAAACTTTTAAATTGATCCCTTAAAATTATGTCTCCAAGCATTGACTTAAATTTTTGGAAAACTGATGTTGAGAACTAATTATCTTTTGATTATTCAATATACATGCCTTTCCTTTTGCTGTGTCCTGAGTATGAGTTCAATTTAAAATCTGACTCCTTAGGCCTGGCCACTTTCCATGGAAAATGATGCATATTGGGCCCAAATCTCTCATTTTCTTCAACTGTCCAGGAATCTACCTCTAGCCATAGGAAAATGTGGGGAATTGGGAGAAGTGTCAAAGAAAAACCACAAAAGTAAAAGGAGATGGGATGATATAGCCACAGAGGTGGGGCTGGAGGTGTTTTCACCTGTGAGCAGACAGTTCAGGAACCTGTCCCAAGTCTCAGTGCTGTCACTTCATAACTCAAGGGCTCAGAGTCACTGACCGATAGGACTATCTCCTGCACCCCCATGGCGCCTGCAAACAGCGTCACACATAGATAGTAGTTGCTTTAATTGAATCCTGGCCCAAGTTAGAAAGTGAAGGTAGAATCTCTACATCATTGGAAATAAATCGTCCCTGTCACGGAGCGGTACTCAGAGCCTATGCTTATGAGGGACCAGGTAACACACACCTAACCCTTTTGTTACACGGGAACTTCTAATCCAAAGTAGACAGATGTCTGACAGACTCATCATTAAAGCCAAAGCCGTGCTTTTCTGGTGCAAATAAATTTGAGCTCACGGGGGAGATTCATTAATTTCAGAGCCATTTAATCATTTGCTTCATGATGGTTCTATTTTACTTTTATTGATTGATCTGGAAATTTTTGAATCATTTTCAACAGATTTCCTCTGAATTCTTCGGCTACTAAAGAATAGTTTCTATTTTACCAACTAGCTGTTGGCAATTCCGTATCTCTTTCCTCATTCCTTTCTTTCAAACCAAAATATGCCCTCTTGCAGTTAGGAGGAAAAAAAAATCCATTTTTCCCTTCAGCTGCCAAAGTGAAATTTTAAAGTGTTTTTAAAATGTGATTTCTATGTTAAATAATTTGGAATCTGTCTTTAAAGTGCAAAATACTTTATTTCCTTTATACTAAAAATATTTTTATGAAATTGATTTTATTTTTTTCTCTCTCAACTACAAGCTATATATTTATAATTCCAAACATTCACCTTTCCTTTAAAAGGTGTTAGGTAGCTATAGGTAAGTTGAGTCGATATATTCAAGGTTTAGAGCTTTTACAGATGTTTTCCAAACGAAAAGAGAACCTCTGCTCTTGAAAACGCCCGGATTTTTACCTTCAATGTTAGACACAAATGGCATTGAATGTTTCCTTTCACAGGAGCTCATTACCATGATGCTGTTGGTGGATGTAGATCAGCGATTTTCAGCCGTGCAGGTCCTCGAACATCCCTGGGTTAATGTAAGTAACTTCCTCCCTTCCCTGTATTTACTCCGAACATTCCTTTCTCAAATTGCAGCTTTCCTAATGATGTTGCCTCCTTTTTAAAGTGTTGTGTTTGTGTCTGTTCCTCTCTCTCAAACATGCCAGAACAGTTACAGGATCTCAGCCTTGTTCCACAAGGGCCTCTGATGTATCTGTGCTGACATGTGTTCTCACGGTCCCTTGCACAGACATTTCATTTGATTCAGACGGGACTGCCTTCTACCGGGGAACTGCATCCTATGGTCCAGATTAGGGCTGCATCCATCAATAATACAGAGCAGATTTTCTGAGTCAGTGCTGCTTTTGCATCATTTCTACCAAATATACCAGTGACCCAAGGGTCCCTGCATCAGTGTTGGAGTTCTCCAGTGCAGCACTTCTCAAACTTGCCTGTGCTCACAAGTCATATGGTGGGGGGCTGGGGGGAGGCTTATTAAAGTGCAGATTGTAATGTAGTAGATGTGAGGCTCTGAGTTTCTAAAAGCTCCCAGATGCTGCTGCTGCAATCTGAGTACAAGGTCTGATGAAATTTCCTTAGCTATGAAAGGATTCTCCAGAGCAGAGTCATTATTTTTTGACTCTCTCTCTCTATAACTGATTGAAAAGATTTGTTTTGAATAACAATAATAATAAATATTTGGAGTGCTTAGCTTATAGTGTCTGCCCAGGACCATTTAAGTACCTCACATACATTAACTGATAACCCGGGGGCTGTTGGAACCCCTGCTGGCATGTGTGGAAGTTCCATACCTGGGTCTAATGGTTCTTGCTACCAGAATAGAAGACAGACATAGATTTGGATATAGGTACAGACATGGGACAGGTATAATATCGTTAGCTCATTGGTATGAATTTTGCCAGCTGCTTCGAGGGATCTGGCTGTAAGATGAAGGCAACAAAATGTTCCACTTCTCTGAATTATCACTTCGGTGATAAGTCAAGTGTATTTTCCCAAGATAACTAATGACTGAGGATGAAGTGTGATTAAAAGCACAGTGTTGAGACAGACTGCATCTGAGGTGACAAGAGCTTGGGATCTTGTTCATGTTCTGCCACTTGATGCCCATGGTCCTAGGTTCCAGCACTTTACACGCCTGAACCTGGTTCCTCCCACCCCACTTGGAGGTTATATATATATATATATATATATATATATACATACATATGACAGGAGAATATACAGGAATGCGAGCGTGTATAGGTATACAGCTAAGGTTTGTTAAATATTTTTACACAGCAGAGCTTCCCAACTGGTGTACAGATGTGTGAAGATATTAATCCCCACAGCCCTTGGGATAGTCAGGCAGGGCTGCCAGAGTCCAGGAGCTGTCACCTCCAACCTTACGACCTTTGCATTTACCCTACGGTGCTGAACAAAAGTTATCCTTTTCTATGGAGTTGGAAGGGTTAGGAAGCATCTCATGTAAGCCTAATAATAAGGCTACAAGAGAAGCAGGGTGGGTATTATTGTACCCATTTTACAAATGGAAAGACTGAGGCTGTGATGGATGACTCTTCCAAAGTAGCTGTGCTTATGGTTGAGCCAGAATTTGCAGGCAGGCACTTCAAGCCCATTTCCTTTAAAGTCCCGTGCACCACACTGCATCACCCTCTCTCTGTTATACATGAAAGCACTGTGAATAGTGCAGAAGAGTGCACTATATGTACACCAGCATCGTTATAATGATTGTTCGTACAAGGTCGCAGTCTTTCCAAAGTAACTTACCTGGGTCGTGGTGCCTCTCCCTTAGACGTGCAGGGTGGAAGAGGCACAGGCCAGCTGCAGGCTCTCCTAGTGGCAGCAGCTGGTTTGGACTGGTCTACATGCTGATTAAAAGTCCACGGTCCACAAACTGTCCAACTGCATGTTAGCGCTGGAAACACTGAGAGTGTGGCCACACAGAATACAGTGGAAAATCCGAATTTGAAACGCGGCCTTCGAAGGCTCACAAAGAGCCGTGGAGGAGAGAGATTACAAATAGCCATTTTAGATTTTGAAATACATTTTCATCAGAGGACACCCCCTGTCGGGCCTGCTCTCCAGGAGCTCTGTCTGATACAACAGTCACATGGCAGTGAGAGAAGAGCCACCCCAGCTGGCCTGTGTGGGGAGGGTGCCCTGAGAGGCTTCCCAGAGGAGGAGATGCCAGAGCTTCTTCCTGGAGGAGGCTGGGAAGAGATGTCCTGCAGAGCCAGCTCAGGCAGGATATGGATATTTGCTATAAGATAACTTTGTGAATGTGAGCACATTTGTCTATACATGTGAGAGGCCTGGGGTGTTATTGGAAACAAAATAATCCCTTACCCTGATTCCAGACCAAATGACCCTATATCAATATATTCCAACTCAGTTGGGTAGAGACACAAAATTAAGATGACTTCTGGCTGTTGCCTTTGAAAAATTAGGTTGTTCATTTTCCTAGGGCAGTGTATACATGTCTCAGCAGTAACTTTCTTCCTTCTCAACCTGCTTTCTGCACGTGGTCCCACTTTGCTGACAATTAGGTTCCACAGCTCCCTCTGGACCTTGGACTTCTGCTGTCATTTTAGTTTTCCCTCTCAGATTCCCTAAAAACATTTTCTAAGAGCAAGGATAACATTTAAGGCATTGTCTAGGAGATTTAAAAATTTTAAATACCCTTTAATATAATTATAACAGACCTTAGATTCTAAGGGGATAAAAGATAGCAATTTTGGCAAAAAACTTAACATATAAAGTGATTGCTTAACTCTGGAAATTACATAGTAAATAACTAAGTTAGAAAATTGATTATTTTCTTTATCTCAAAATAACAAATGAAAAAAATATGTATATAAGCATTCACAACCAGCATTTAGTGTTTGTTGAGGTCTCCGAGTGCAATAAACGAACAACCCAGCAATCAAAATAAATAAATTAGGGATGTAAAAGGAAGCCCATTTAACAAGACATGTTGCATTTGGCAATCAAATTATATCTGATCACTGCAGAGGGTGCTACCTAAGGGGGGAAAAGTAATAATAAGTGTATGAGCCCTAAGGAAGTCGTCAGAAAGCTCTTCCCACGTTCCCATTTGTCCTAATTTTCTCTTACCGCATAAACGATGCCCTTTTCACCTGGCGCACTTGGAATTGAAAAGGCAGTCTCATGAAACAGAGAGCAGAGCGCAAGGGCAACAGAATAGAAGAATCTAGTCAGCAAAAGTCACTTGCTTTAACCTTACTCCAGGTGCTTCCTCTAGGCCCCCATTTATTTTTTATACACTCTGAGTGCCCTTTGGTGTCCTGGACCTCTGCTCTGTTATCGGAAGAGCCATGAGTGAGGCCTCTCGGTGGATGGTTCTAACCAGCCAGAGGACAAAGGCAGCATCAGCGTGTGCAGCCAGGTGTCTGGGAGAGGGATGTAGACCCCCGGAAGGAGCGCCAGCTCACCTTGGGTAACCTTGGGACAGTCATTTCACGCCTTTGAACCTGTTTTTCTGTCTGTGAAATGGGAGATAAGAGAATCAACTTCTCAGGTTATGAGGATAGAGAGAGGATTTTATATCTGAAAGTCCTGAGCAGACAGTCTTAAGTGCTCATACGCTGTAGGTACTTGGTAAATATTTGGTGAATTTGAGTCTGAGGAAGGCCGAAACTCCATCATCTGTAGCTACGAGCTGATGAAATGGAAACTGTGATCAACGCTGGCGTGTGAGAAACTTGATTAAGGTGGAAGCCCCTCATCCAAAAAAATGATCCTGTTTGTGTGCTCCGAACTCCACGTAGATAATGTGACGAACAGCTTGTTGCGTTCTCCAGTGTCACAGCCATCTCTTAAGGTAGCTGCAAAGCACCAACAGGAATTTCCCTAGCTAAATTTATTTACCTTATTACTCATATAGTGGAGAACCATATGATTTAGGCTCATATCATATGAGAGTGGAATAGGCAGTAATAATATATCTGGATCATTCCAGGGATTAGGGAGAAGGTTGAGTCACTTTCTCCCCAAATGATATTTTGTTGGTAGAAAATGCAGGTTAGTGATTAAGTTCATAAGCTTAAATGACAGTTCCAAAGTTGTTTTTTTTTTTGCTGTGTAATTAGGATTAAATTATCAGCAGTCTATTTCAAATAGATTACTATTATTGGATTTTTATTTTCAAAGTTTTGACCTACCTTATCCCATTGTTATTCTCCTCATACCATCTGTGTTTTACCTTCAATTTTTTTCCTGATGAGGAAAATGAGGCTTAAAGAAGTCTCTAGCACGAAGCTCAGTGGGGTCTCTAGCATGAGGTCCGATGCCTGGGTTTTGCCTCTAGAGATTCTGATCCTGATCTGCACTGGCATCTAGGCATTGGGAATTTTAAAAGCTCCCAGGTGACTATAATGTGAGACCAATATAGAGAACCTCTGTCCTACTGGAAAGGACTGGTTTAAATAAGTCAAGTGTAGTTACTTAGCTGGTGCAAGACTTACTATCATCTTCCTGGCCTTTAAATTTTATTTTACCTCCTTTTTCTCACGTACCTCTTTTGAAAAGATACTGCTAAGCCAGGATATTCAACAAGAAATAAAGAACCCGAGGAAGAAGAAAAAACAAGAGCCTAGATAATATGTTTTTTATTCTATGCTCATAAAAATCAGTGCTACCCATACAAAAATATATAAGCATTCCTCTAACTGTTGTTAGAAATTAAGAGAACCCCCAATGATACTGTAATAATAAATAAAACCACCTATCTGTATGTACAACTTATAAATAAAGTTGTAAATGATGACATGGAATTCCACTTTCCATTTGGGCATCTTACCCTCTCCTTTCTCTAAGGTGGATCTTAATTTACTTCACATTTTCTCCCCAAGAGCAGAGTGAATTGTAGACATAAAGGATACATAGGGCCAAGCTAAGAGATTCAGAAATCCTGGGATGTTGCACAACTGGGGAAGGTTAACAAGAGTCGAGTGGGCACACTCTGGCCTGTGAAATGGACCCGCTACTGGAGAGTATG